TCCATATTTTAAGGTACATTTAACGTAGTTTTGTTCCCGTTCATATCATGCATAATGCCACTTAAGCCTAATAGCTGTTCACCATTGATAACTAGAGATGAAAATACTTTTCAAAACTAAGAAGAGCATTGTAATACCTCTATCTCAACAGGCTCTTTTACAGTACACATACATTTGTTGTAAGATTAAGAACACGTACAAAGCGTTGATAAACAAAGGTAAACTTTAGTCTGAAAAACAATTGGTAAGGGATTTTGAAAACAGTACAAAAAGTTTGTTCGCGAACATGACGGGGCAAATTCAAAACTGATAAGATTCTTCCACTTCTGGTACAAGCGAGTGAATAAATATTATTCGAATGGTTATTCCAAACTCTGTGGAAGAGAACAACCTTTTGTTCAGGGAACAAAATGATTTTAGGGGAGCTCTTTCAGGCTTGAGAAATCGCATCTCAAGACAAGGTCTGACTGAAGCGAAAGACAGTAATATTCCGACAGACATAGTTTTCACAGAATTAAGCAAGGCCTTCAACAAGGCCTTACCTGGGTGTTAAACTAAAAGTGGGAAATCTTTTAATCTGAGGATACAACGGATGTTCTAATTCTACAACTAGTTACCAGTAGCACCTTCTATGTTTGATCGTTCCCAGTCAGATAGAAATCAGAAGTCAGACGAGAAGAGGCAGAAAAGATATATTTGATTCGTTACCAATATATCGAGGACCTTTTCTATAAGCTGGCTAATGAAACGTAGGAGCTGTGTCCCAGGCCGTGTTGAAACGTGATCCGGTACGGATGCATGACTGAAAGCCTTCAGCTAAACAAGTCCACTTAAACAACGTGGTCAGCATCCAATGTCGAACACTTAATGAGCTATTGATTTTGGGGAATTATTTACAGCTACAGACCACTCCCCCCCCTAGTGAGGTAGTTATGCCCCTAAGACGTGACCAGCCAGAAGTTTAAACCCAACGAGTTTGTCGTTGGTAAACACTCTTCTGATAGCTTGCTTCGTTTAGCAGCATCTGGTCGTCTTTCCTTAAACTATGGGACCAAAATGTACAACATAGCAATAAAGAAATATAGTACAATGAAAATTTCGGTTCCTTGCGAAACTTCGTCGTTCTTTTCCAGCCGTCCTGGAAAAGAGGAAAAATAAAACGTGTGAGTGCATGTCGAAAATAAACTCGTACTTGCGTAGGGACACAAGATGAGCGGAAAAAAGTAAACTAATACACTTACAAACAGCGTAAAAGCGATCAGGAAAAAAGTGTTTTTTTGTTTGTTTTTTTAGATATAATATATATATATATACGCTCAAAAAAAGATAAAAATGTTTTTTTTTATATAAATAAAAAATGAGCATATTAAAAAAGTTTTTAGAATAAACTATGAAAAGGTAATTCAAGATAAAGCTTATGTCCTACGTGCAATATTCGTTAAGATGTTCTGGAAATCTTACTCGTCTTCCAGAACGCGTTGTTTTAGGTTTATCTATCGATGTTGACGAAGTATCATGTTGTATGTCGGTTGTCGTGTAGGGTACTACGAGTGTAGTGGCTGTGTCGTTTGCTTGTACGTAGCTAGGGTTTCCTTCTAAGTACGCTGCTTTGAGTCGATCGATACTGATGCTATCGTTCGTACCGTTCTTATATACTACATAGTACTTAGGTTCGCGTTGAAGAACTTTGAAGTGTCCTTCGTATGCTGATTCGAGGGGTCGTCGATGTGAGTCTCGACGAACGAAAACGTGTGTACTATGTCGTAATTCGGGTTGAACGAAAACATCAGTTGATTGAGGTCGAGTGTGAGCAGGTTTAACTGAACGCATAGCGTTTGTAAGCCTACTCGTGTAAGAGTTTATATCCATGTTCAATGAAGAAGCTGAAGGATCTACGAATTCTCCTGGGAGTCGAAGTGTCGTTCCGTAAACGAGTTGAAATGCCGTGTATCCAATGTCAGCTTTCACTGCATTGCGGATACCTAGCAAGACGAGTGGAAGAGCGTCTGTCAACTGAGAAACGTTTGAAGCTGATAATGAAGCTTTTAATTGTCGATGAAAACGTTCTACCAACCCGTTTGCTTGTGGGTGGTAGGCGGTCGTTCGGAAGCGCGTGATTCCTAATAGTGAGGTGAGAAAACGGAAAAGTCCAGATTCGAACTGGCGTCCGCAGTCTGTAGTGATTGTGGAAGGGCAGCCGAAATTTGCTACCCATCGTTCGACGAAAGGGCGGGCCACGGTTTCAGCAGTAATGTCCTTAATCGGTACTGCTTCCGGCCATCGAGTGAAACGGTCTACGCATGTTAAGAGATATGAGTATCCGTTCGAGTCGGGTCATGGTCCTACCAAATCTAGATGGACGTGGCCGAAACGAGCGTCAGGGGTTTTGAAAGAACCTAAGGGACATTTGTTGTGTCTGATTACCTTAGATTTCTGGCAGCTTACACAGGAGCATGCCCACACTTCTGCGCCAGTGTCGACGAGATAGAGAACTTTCGTAGTCACATCCGTGACATATAAGAGGCTGCTGTGTTCACCGGCTACGGTTGCCGTTAACGCGTGCCGGCTGGGAAGTTTCCCGAAATCTTATTCGTGTCAGTCGATTTTGAAGTCGGATAATTGCAAGGTTTCCTGCAATTTCTGGAAAACTTAGCGTACTGGTTACGATCCGTCATAGTAATATAGATAACGAAAAATGTCTAATTAAAATATATCCGGGGAAAAAAAATTCGCGAAAAAACAGTATATCACAATATATAAAATTCAAATAAAGAATAATAATGAATAATAATATTCCAAAATGGAACAGACTCACAGTATATTGACTTGGTGTACCAGATCACGTAGGGTTCACCAATGAGGATACAACGGATGTTCTAATTCTACAACTAGTTACCAGTAGCACCTTCTATGTTTGATCGTTCCCAGTCAGATAGAAATCAGAAGTCAGACGAGAAGAGGCAGAAAAGATATATTTGATTCGTTACCAATATATCGAGGACCTTTTCTATAAGCTGGCTAATGAAACGTAGGAGCTGTGTCCCAGGCCGTGTTGAAACGTGATCCGGTACGGATGCATGACTGAAAGCCTTCAGCTAAACAAGTCCACTTAAACAACGTGGTCAGCATCCAATGTCGAACACTTAATGAGCTATTGATTTTGGGGAATTATTTACAGCTACAAATCCATTATGAAAATAGAGACCGAATAAGTAACCTTTTTAGTGATCACAGACTACGATCACTGGTGAACAAGGCTTTATCAACATGGGAATGTGCGAAATGTGGTGTCCTTCAAGGTAAGACTCTCAGTCCTCTTCTTTTTTTAGCTTGCGCGAATGATCAAAAACTGATGGGGTCATCAGTTCCATTCTTTATCAATGAAAACAAGATTTGAAGACCCATATATCGTGTCAGATGGGATAACACTGGCCGAATGGGTATATAGATGGTCATTAGGTTTGAGTGTATATCTTCATTGTAACATCAAATAATCCTGGCGATGATTGCCATCGACGACGTTTGTTATCTGACTTCGATGGAATCGCATGAAGATTACTGTCGAAGTACACATGCTGCCAACCCTCGTATATTTTTATCTACTTGACTTGCGTTAGCGAATAATGGAATAAGTCAAATAGGAGAATGGATTTCGAGTACATACACATACAGTCACACAAAAACAGTCAGGATTAATAAATGAATAAGGGCGAAAATGTGTCTTGATAAGAACGAATAAATTGATTTCTCTATGGGTCAGAATAGTCTATGTTTGCTTGACATAGTACCAGCCACTACAAGGTGTTAATTCTAGCAAGTGTAGTGATGCCAATAAAGGAATGCGATGATTCAAATAACTACACAACAATTGAAGTAGTGTTACCTGAATTAATCGATCATAAAGATCTGGAAGTCATAAGCAACGACCTTAGAACTTCTAGTCACTGTAAAGCTTCTGTTTCCAGATGCTTCATAAATTTATGGACCATTCGTGGGTTATTTCAACACAAGGGTGAAGAAATGTTTGAGTTTTATACCAGAAGTTTAGAATGTGGGTTGAGGCAGCGAGTTCTTGCTTCAAGTATGAAGCAGATGTATTTGAATTGTAAGACCATCTACGTTGATGATCTATGTCAAAATGATCGGGGGCCTACTATAGTTAGACGAGAATGGGGACGAACCAATTAACGCTGAAGTCACACCTCGCGACCAGCCCTTACGTGGATTGAACCATCGACGCATCAAAGGATAATAGATGCTATGGAGACTGTACAACACAAAGGACATTATGACAAGAATATATTAGTTAAGGTACAACTACGGAAGTACAGAAGTGAAAGAATAACCACTGCCGCGTGGGCCAGTCCATGGCGTACCATTGGTTTGTGCGCGTTGACTATCCTCGACCTTGACAGGGATCAGTGATCTGTTCGATATTCAGTGACCCTACAGAATGAGTTCAACGGTTAAAGGATAAAATGGTGAAAGGTCTCATTGGCCTATCTAATGAAGACAGAGTGAGGTGCTTCGACCTATTTCCGTTATCTCGCCTCGAGCTAGCAGGTGCATTGAAACTTGCTTACCATATACTGAGAGATGATTTCGGTAATATTATCTTACATTCTCTTTCCATCTAATAATGATCATCTGAGAGGACATTCGAAATGTTATTGTTTGTGAGAAGTGTTACTGAAATTCACACAGTGTTCCTTTGATCGTAAAAGTATGGGGTAAGGACACGGAAAAACTATGCACTCAATACTCTACAGTAATGAACAACGGAGATCGGTTAATGAGCAGTATAAGTCATATTTACACTGTTAACGGATATACACCGAACATTCCTAATAAAAATATGTTATGTTTATAGCGTCACAGAGACTGAGAAAGACACTAAATTATCACAATTGCAGAAGTCGATGATTCTTCTTGCTTTCTAGGCATTGGAAATTTGGGGGTTGACCTTGGCAACCCTTTTGTCATACTGTCATGCACGGCTTATGTTTTCATTGGTTTGTTATTTCTTAATGTTAATGTTTGCAATGTGACTTAATTGTATGAATTTAGTATATAGTTGACAATTGTCTCGATTTCACGTCTGTTGGTTGGGAAGCTAAAATGAGAATTAAACCATTTATTTTTTATTGCACCCAACATAACACCGAGAAAAGTCAGTGATGATTATAGATTTGACCAGCTCACAATTTTCATCTGTTATCTGTAAGTTCCTTCCAGTCGGTATAATAGGACATAGAGACTGATCTATCACCGGGCAATGTAGCATACAGTCAGATACATATGTACCTGGCTCGGGCATTATGTATGGGGGTGTGCAATACTACATACTTAGTGCTAAGTAGTTGGAATTGCAAGGAATAATTTGTGATGGTAAATAACAACTAGTTTCTCGTCCTTACATGGACTGATTGCTAGTTCACTTCAGAATAATAGTGCTTGCGGAGTAAGTGTAAGTTGTGTGAAACACTGGTTGACTCACATCGATAAGACTATGGCGCCAACCAGTTCTGATTAAATAAATACCATCCAGAACCTTGGATTTATGTAAAGTGAGGGCAAAACAAGCTTTGATCAATCGGGCTTGCAGCTGACCATCGACGTTTGTGATTTCGTGCTCTATATTATAACTCGTGGCCTTGCGCCCTATTAATAATATATGACGCAGTGATACCGCCAATTAGAGAACAGTGGTTTATCGACCAAACCAACAACGCATAAACCTGTACAAGCACTCTAGAGTTCTTATCAACTCAGCCTGTTGAGTTCAGAACACCAATCTGATCAACTCTTAATGGGTTGGTGTCTGACGAAATCTCATTACGGAGTCGAAAAGCTCGTTTGGCTTTTGCCAACTTACGTCACCTATAGCGAAGACGAGATATCCTTCTATCAATTAAGCGACGGTATTAGGGAATGATGGTAAATCAGTTGACGAGGTCATGAATCTTAATCGACCAAGATGGTTAGGCCATGTGTTACGTATGCCTGAACACCGATTACCACGATGCAATGCTGACTTGTGTAGAGGGTGGTTGGAAGAGAGTTAGGGGCGGCCAAACCAAAACATGGCATCAGTGCTTAAGGTCACTAACTTCTAGTCTGAGCCATGTTGGTAGATGCAGACTACCTGGTTGGGGTCTGCGTGACTATCTTAACCGATGGTTGGAGACTCTGTGTGACATGGCTCAGAATCGATCACAATGGCGTAAGTGTATACACTCTTTATCTTCCCTTAAACCTTGAGATTAAAATTGCTTCATAACTTTTTTCCTTCCTATACTATATCCTTATACACAACCTATCTTTTATAAACTACCACCACTAAATTAACTATTTCTATGAATCCGGTGTTCATGTTGTTGTGCTAACGATATATGGCAACTTGGACCGATGCATATGTGTGCCTGGTCCTACGTTGTAGCTGACTGAGAACTCCAATCTCGACCTCCCCAATATGAATCATATATTTCAAACATACTGGGTGTATATATAACTCAAACAGACCACATCACACCGGAAAATAGAAAATAACTTTTGCACAAGGTCTCTCCGAAAGTGGATGTGGTTGTGAGAGACTGTAATTAATAAACTGGGAATAACTCAAAAACGGCAAGTCGCATAATAATAGTCCATAGGTCAAAATAAAAGCTTTAATGAGAGGAACACAAATGTGAATAGTTAACATACTTCACAACTATAAAATAAGAACATATGTATAGTATTAGTCCATAAATAGATCCCAACAGTTACCATTCATTATTGTCCTCCTAATATGACAACTTCATGATTGATATGTATATAACATAAGGCTGAGCTAGCAAAAACCCACACCCATAAATGCAGCGAGTCTCTTTGGATTGTATTTTTACCGACCAGGTGATTATTTCAGGCCTGACTCCTAGTTTGGAAACCCTTTTTTAAATTATTTTCATTGTTGCGTGAAATTCTTAGATCTCGGATGTCACCTAAAGCCAATATGGCTTTTACTGCGATTCCAGTGACGCGTAATTGATAGTTGCACATACTGGGCGAAACAGGTCAGTTAGAAAATATAACCGGGACCAATCCTTCTAGTGTGTAGTCGTGACGATTATTGAATGTCAATCGAGATCAATAACCGATCTAAATCAGACAACCACTGAAAACTTGGGAGTACTAAACGGCCGTTTCGTCCTTGTATGAAAGCCCTAGTAAGAAACCATGACCATTGTTCAACCACGTTTAGTATGAGGAAGTTATACGCAGAAGGTAGTGCAACATGGTCGCAAAATATCGCAGATAGCTTGAAGTTGGACTTACACATCATTAGACCATGACTCATGGGTCTAGAACTCTGATCAGTCTCAATGGGTTGGTTTCTGGCGAAGTTTCTGCACGGATTCAAAAAGCTCGTTTGGCTTTTACTAACTTACGTCATTTATGGCGATGGCAAGATATCCGTCCATCAGTTAAAGGACGAGCATACTGTGCGGCAGTTCGTTCTGTTTTACTTGACGGCTGCGAAATGTGGCCGTTCGGGGTCGGAGGGCCTACTTCAATGTTCTATTCAGTTTTTCTGAAGAGTTGCCCGGTGTTGCCTACAGCTGCTACCTTTTCCATCTCTTTTTGTTTTCGTTGCCCACCACTGCTCACGATCGTTCCTTAGACTTTTAGTTAACCTAGATCTAATTTGTTTATGCTCTTCGTCGTGTTCAGAGCCTGATGGGATGAATTTACGAGAATCCGTCAGTGAAATAGACTTAGAAGAAATCCATTGGTTTTTTGGAACCCTATGATTTAAATTACTAATAGATGTTACTGCTGTTTCCACATCTGTTCGTATATCTTTCCAAGCAGCATCTGGGTCAGCCTCGATTACAGAACTACCTAGATGTGAACCCAGTTGTTCCTGGAATTTACATTTGGCTTTCTCGTCCTCCAGTTCAATCCTAATGGGTCTTCTTAGTGTAGTTTCCTGCGTCCAGTGACGCGCAGACAGTCTTCTATCGAGCCTCTCCAACGATGACTGATGGCAATATGGTCTATTTTAGTCCATCGTTGGTTTGGTGCAGGTGGTCGCCATGTTAGACGATGTCTCTCCTTATGCTTAAAATTAGTGCTTGCTAAAAATAAACGATTGTCTGAGTATAGTTGCAACAGACGATCACCATTATCGGTTCGTTGAACAGGGATACTAAAACACCCACCTAAATGTCGTTCTGTTTGATTTAAGCTGCCTAACTGGGCATTAAAGTCACCTGCTACGACTACTATGTCTGAGAGCTTAGCTTTCTGAAGAAGTTCAGAGAGCTTTCTGTAAAAGTCATCTTTCACTTCATCAGGGCTGTAGTCGGTGGGAGTGTAGGCAGAAACGACGAAAAGGCAACGACATGTGTCCTTATCCTTCCGAGTTCTTACGGAGCCATTTAGCCGGACAGCACACAGGTGACTGTTAACGGGGATCCATTCTAGTAGTGCTTGTTCTGCCCTTGTACTAAGTGCCATGCCTACACCTGCAAGTCCACGAGAACTAGTCATGGGGTCGCCAGATACACTGAGGGTGTATTTCGTTGGCTGTCCAATTTGGCGAGGTGAGGTCAAGTGAATGACCACACTGGGACCTTGTATGCGTGTTTCGGAGACACAGCATACATACATACAGCATAAGAGATTCTAGGGTCTTGGCCAAGGGAGCCTGATGACCGATTTGACTTATGGTACGTGCGTTGAAGGCTCCAATGTGTAGTTTGGAGGGAGGTTTTAGTAGACCTGGGACAGTTTCACGCACTAGAATCGTTGGCCATGGTGACACTTGAGGAGGAAACCGTAAGAGGAAGTTTAGTGTTGAAAGTCGAGGTAGAAGGAATAGTAGGAAGTAAAGAAGGAGATTGATTATGAATACAGTGGTCTTGAGTGCTGTGAGAGGTATGAGGGCAGTTATCACTTCCCGGTTGCCCACACCGTGGAAGGGTTCTTCTAGAGGTACCTGAGAAGGAAATTGGGTTAGAAGTGGTCTTAATGACCTGAGAGCATGACCGCAGTGCCCAAGGGACAACTACTTGAGGTCGGTCACACGACCTTTTTGCGGGTAATTTTTGTGTTAGCTCCGTACATTTTGGGACCTCACCGCCGGAGACGGATATCCGTGAGATAAGGTGAGGTGTGCATTTTAAAGGTCGACCTTTTCTAACCCCACCCCTCCTTGTGGTAAGGCAGCATCGCTGTTATACTGGTTGTCTGAAGAAAACACCTTACTGCTGTTACACCTCTGTACAGTCAGCAGTACGACTTCGCCTTCAGACCTTGGGTTTGTTGCTTTTAGTCTTAGCGCTCTTCAACCGACCTGCCTGGCATGGTAGGACTTTGAGGAACGATTGTTGCAGCCAGTATAGCTCGATTAGTTCATCACGATAGGGAAGCCCGTCCACCACGTCTAGGTAGCAGCAACGGTCTGAAGAGAGTTAGAGGCACCCAAACCAAAACGTGGCATTATTCTTTGAAGTCACTAACTTTTAGTCCGAGCCATGTTGGGGGATGCAGACTACTTGGTCGTGGTCTACGCGACTATCGTAACCAATGGATGAAAACTGTGGGTGACATGGCTCAGAGTCGATCACAGTGGTGTCGGTGTATACACTCTTTGCCTTTCCTTGCCCCCAAATGCCCTGGTACGGCCGAGAGTGGGGAGAGTCTCCCTCTCGAAATGCTTTCATATGGTCACGCGAACATATAGCCTCTGCCAGGAAATTCCTACTCACTGCATTCTCGCACTACGAGTGTTGTTCACAAAAGTGAGAGGACGAAAAGCGAATATCCGGCGCTTTAACCGGGTTGGTGGATGTGGAGGATCCACCTAGGGGAGTTGGAAAACCCTGATTCTAAACCAATGGTGCACATGGGCTCCAGTATCTTGAGGGGACAAATGGCGTACGAATCAATCGTTGGTCACCGGCTACCATGGGACTGCATCTCCTCACGATGCTCCACTGCCTTGTGGACTAGACCTTTAGGTCAA